ATGCCTAAAGCAGTGGTGTATCTGTCAGTGGAGGAAAAGGGGGGCGAAACGGAGGCACAGGTTTATCTCACATTGCAAAGTCAATGCAGAAGTGACTCATCAATCACTTTTTTTACAGCTAGATAATATTTTGCCTTTATAACTTGAGATACTTTTATTTCCTTTGATCTTCTTTTGTAAGGGTAAATCTAACACCAGCTTTAAATTCCTTCTACCCATCTGTTATCTAAGGTAGTTTATGGTCAATAGAAGTACCAGTGAATGCCTTTGAGAAGAAGCTTTTTTAAAGGAGCCCTTTTGTGTTATTAGTATTTCTTTACTCTCTAATTTATCTGTTTAAAATATGCTTACTGATATTTGAGTTCCTTAAGACAGGGCACACCTATACATTCTAAGTCCTTAGACAATATGAGTTTAACTAAGAATTAGGTAGTTTATTGCTAGATCGTAAGCTTCTTGAGGGTAAATAGAGTATCCTAAGTACTCCTTGCTTTAACCTTGTAGTCTCCAGCCTGGTGCTTGCACATGCAAAGTGTCTCCTGAGCTGTGTGGCAAGAGGGTAGGGAAAGGCGCCCAGACAGCCTTTTCCTTAGATGGTTTCATTTTCTAGGTTCTTATCATAAGTGACTGTTTCTGTGTTCTACACCATGTAATAAACAGGCTTTGTCCAATTCGTTAATTTAAATCTTTGCCTAACAGCATTTTTAAAGTGTCCAGAAACAAAAAAGATTAAAATGTTTCAATTTTCAGTTCAAGCTCTTGTAACTTTATAAAAGGAAATAACGTTTTTAAGAAGTTGTATATAAACGACATTGTACTTAACCAGCCTAAAGGTTAATACTGCATATTGTTTTCAATTAGGAATACAATAGATATGGCTGGTGGGTAGGAGAAATGAAGGGAGCCATTGGCTTGGTGCCTAAATCCTACGTAATGGAGATGTATGATATTTGAGAGTCTTGGGTAAGTACATTTTAATCCAATATTCTGTAATAGCTCATATGTTCTCTTGTTCTCTGCCTTCTGAGTCTTTGCCTTGTAGTTTTCTGTTAACACAAAGATTGTGCCCCAAAATATTTTGTTTGTTTTCTTTTATTTGACTTGATTCAAAAAATAACTTCATGGAATTTACCTTGGAAATGAATGGATTATTTAGAGAAATTTCCTGTGATAATAGCCAGCTGTTTTCCCAAACCTCCTCATCTACTGAGGAGCTGAATTAACAAAATGTTGAGAAACATGCATCTATCATTGGTTAAAAATGTAGTTTTTCCTAAGCAGGAAAAATGAAGAAAAGACTGAAGAAAAAAAATTAAAATGCAGCTTTCCCTTTCTGCCTGCAGGAAAGGAAGATGCCTGTGCTAGCGGCGAGTGCTTTGGATCTAACAGTGTGAAAGCATGGGTGACACCTCAGAACCTTTCTTCGTTTTGTTGGCCGTCGTTTGTCTTCCGCGTTATCTTATGCGGTCATTTGTTATACTGCTCCTCTGATGTGAAGTTATATGAAGGGTATTCATGTAAATTAGACGCAGACGGTAAACTTATTATACCTGTTGCTTTTTTGCAAATAAATAATTGTACTTTTTATTTACCTATCTGATTTGTGTGAAGAATTCAGCACTATTTTATATGTACTACATAATTAGTTACTTCCAGTGTGAGTTCTAATTTCTCTTAATTATTGGAAATTAATTATTTTTTAGAATGTAATATGTAATTTCATAGAAATTTTAATTGACTATGTCAGGCAAAGTTTTGATGGGTGCTATCTAAAGAATGTGGAGCTCTGGTGGTATAGTGGTTAAGAGCTTGGCTGCTACCCAGAAGGTCGGCGGTTTGAATCCACCAGCAGCTCCTTGGAAACCCTATGGGGCAGTTCTGCTCTGTCCTGTAGGGTCGCTATGAGTCAGAATCGACTTGAAGGCAATGGGTTGGTTTTTTTCGGGGATGAGGGATCTAAAGAATGTGGCTTTGTTAAAGCTTTGTAGATGATTACCTTTGGTATTTATTTTTCATACAGTACTAATATGTTTTTCTGAAAGAATTTTTACTGATAGGCAAATCTACTTCATGTTAAGTATAGCCACAAGAAAGGAAACAAAAAAAAAATAGAATTGCATATGGCAGTGTGGTGTCCCCACAACACACGTGCCAGCCAGAAACATGGTTTGTGCAAAGCACTTTATCAATTAAAAATATGCTAATTATATGATGGGCTTGCCAACATTTGGTACCATAGTTTTGTTTAAAGGTAGTAAAATAAAAAAATGTATAAGAATCACCATTCTTCCACTGATGTAATGGTATAAAGAATCTCAGTGTATTCCCAAAGTAAAAAGGCATGACCAAGTACTCTCTTATTCTGCTTTATCATTGCTGGGCTATTAAAGTCCCACCAGGAAGCAGTAGAATTCCAGATTTGATGTCTCCTCTACCTTCTCAGAGTACTGAGGGGAAGAGAAGGCTCAGAGTGCTGGAGTGTAGAGATCACGATGGTAACATTGTAACATGTGCCAACAGGTGAGTGAAAGACTAGTGCTAGCCTGACATTGGAGTCACACGCTGTGCTGCCTGAGCAGGATTTGTGGCATTATATTATTACCTTTTCAGGTATATTGAAAACCAAAGGTATTTTAAATGCCTACAAGGTACCATTATGACCTTAACATGTATCAGAATGCATTGCTGGTCGAATAATTATTGGGAGTAGATATAATCTCCTAATACTGAATCAGTAATTAGTAGGTACTGTCTCTGTTGAACTTTTCACATCTTTGCTTTATAAAGATTCTCACCATGCAGATGAGCTACTAATATTTGTAAGCCTCCATTTTTATGTAAAACTATTTACCAGCAGTATTTCAGAGAGCATATTTTATAATTATCCCCTCAGTACTGTGATCATCCAATTTCAAATGTTTAAGAAAAATCTTCACTTTGGGGATTGTGTGTGAACTCTAGTTTATACACATATACATCTTCAACTTAAAGCTTTCAGAAACTATACTTGTGTGGTCATTTGCCTTTTTCTAATATAGTGCCACTGAAATAGATTGGAACGATGTTGCCAAAAGTTGGGCAAATAGGAAATAAATTTAGTAGACTGACTTTCAAAGCCTGAGTAGTTGAAAAGCAAAACGGTTGTGGTTCCACTGCAGTTGTAACTAGCCTCCCTTGTGGATACAGGTTTTGTGCCTCTGGTTCAAGCACAGTTTTTAGTTCTAGGCCAGCAGATGGCAGCAGCTTTTCATTACATACAAGCCTGTTTGGCAACCCCTCCCCCACTCAGGCACAAACTCCGAATGTAAAACATTTAGAAGATTCCTGCCTCTTTTTACAGTTAATCCAGGAGAGGGAGTCCTTCGTCAACTGATGACCAACAATTCCAAGCCAAATAGTCTTTCTGTGGACAGTGGCAATAAAGAAATAAAGTATTACTTCTGTCCAGAGCTCCTCTGCCTTTGTTCTTTTTTAACTTGAATAAAGGTGGGAGATAAAAGAAAGGAAACAGGAGATTTAAAATTGGAGTGATAGGAAAAATAATCACAGTTCATGGCTACATATAGTCATTTGATGAAATCATTTGTATACTACCAGTGAGAAAGTTTCCTTTACACCCTTGACAATATATCACGCACTTGTCAAGATCATAATAATATCATTAGTATGAATTTAAACAACTTGGCTTGTTAGAAAATATGCTAATTGCTATGTTCTCATTATGTTTGCTTAGCTTTTATTTGTTTTTCTATGAACAGTTAGAGAGCTAATTTTTTTCCAAAGGTGATTGTAAGTCATATTTTATATAGCATTTTGTTTGATTATTTGCTCTGTACTGAATTTGTAGTCTATTGCCATTAGATCTTACAATAATGTTCCACTCTGCAAATTTTTAAGGTTCAAATAAAGTTTAATTGTTTGCAAACTGTTATGATGCTAATAATTCAACAGCCTGCTGTGTTACTAATGAAATTACTTTGTTATGATTAATTTGGAAAATAGTGTGTTGATTGTAGTAATTAAGCACAACAAGGTGAAGTAAATGATTCTAATGCCATCTGGCCTCCAAACTGAATGAAGAAATGAAATAGGGCTGTCATCTGAATTTATTCAAAGAAATATGGATAATACAAATGACTTTCATTGTCATAGGATTTAGACTTAACCACAGCTCACACTCCATTCTGTTTTTGCCTCTTTGCTGCATGTAACATTTTCTTTTATGAAAAAGAATGTTTGGCTCAACAATTGTTTTGAATACTCCATTTGATTTTGAACTGATTATTTTTACCTTGTGCTATTTTAATTACAGATAATTGTATAAAGTATTGTAGGATCATAGAAAATCACTTTTCAACTATAGATGTAGGGTTTTTTGTTGTTGCTGTCACTGTACAAACCCTTGAATATACTCTGGTCACAAAAAGTAGAGCTTCAATTCAATTGTTTCTAAAATGTTTGCCATCAAAGTGCTCTCATACTTCTTAATGATTTCTACTGTTCCTATCATTTTTTTCCAGTCTAATCTATTGCTGTTTACTTCATAGAGTCTGGTACCATCCAGAATCATGTTTGAAACAGAACGGGGTTACATATTATAAATCTAGATTTGCAGTTCACCAGTATAAGAGTACAGACCCTAATATGTCTGTAGTTTAAAAATTTGAACTTCATCAATGAGACTGAGTGAAGCATTGTAAGAATTTTAAATCAAGTAAAGTAGTTCTAAATTTCAGATAAATCAATTGTTTATACTTCAATTGTTGGGTAGAATTATAGACACAAACCTAATAGAAATCACTTTTACTTCTCTTGAATTCAATAGATTCAAGAATATTGAAAAGCAATCCACATGGTAAAAAGGGAGGTGGTGGGGATTAAAATATGGTCAAACCAGGGCTTCGAACCGGTTCTTTCTGGTTAGAACCCCTGCTAAGAATTTGCATTTCCACTCCAGAAATACTGAATCAAAATCTACATTTTAATGACCCCCAGGTGATTCTTACGTATGATAAATTTTGAGAACAGTGCTCTACTAGTGGTTCTCAAAATTGGTCCCTAATCAGCAGCATTAGCATCACCTGGAAACTTGTTAGTGGTGCAAATTCTCAGCAGGGGTTCCACCCAGAACCCCTGGATCAAACCATAGAAAACACAGCTTCACTAGAGGTTGAAGGAATATGATTGACATGCACAACATAAAAACATTTATTACAATGGCTTAGTATGTCAGCAAAATCCTAAGTATTCCAAACTACAGAGAAACAAATAAGTAGTATTTTATTAAAGTATCTTTCTGCAAGTTTAATATAATTCAAATACTTAAACAGTTCATCATCTGAATTGGGAGCAAGGGATTCTAGACATCCTCAGCTTTAGCCAACATTATCATCCACTACCTTATAGATGAGTTCTTCCAGAATTTCTGTTAGTATCCCTGATAGTGTAACATTTTGCTTTGATGAGATACTTAGAAAATTAGATGATCTCAGTAACATGGAGATAATGTTTCGTTATTGCTATGTTTGAAGGATTTTTTCTTTTGTTTTTACTGGTAGAGTCTGCTCTGTCATTACTTGGACACAAATATATGATTTATTGGCAGCATAGTACAGAGTTTATGGTGAGTATCCAGTAAGTATTTGTTAATTAACTGATTTTGCCCTCCACAGTTATCTTAAGACCTATGGTTTAAGAAGAAAACTGCTTGACTTCTATACCTGGTAGACAAAATGCCATTGTCTAGTTGGTATATCGACTTTCTGCCTGAGAGTATTCTCTTAGTCAAAAAATCAGTCCCTTTTACTGAGTCCTCCTAATGCCGTCACCAAGTGGACTTAGTCCCAGAGTTGAGTGAGATCGTGAATAACCAGAAAGCTGAGTTGTGACAGATGGTCTCTAACCTTGTGTTCAGTGTTGTGACTCTTTCAAAGGCACTGGAGGCTCAAGACAACTTGGGGCACCGGGATCTAGTTTCGCTTTCCAGAGTGCTCCAAAGCCCAGCAGCGCTGCGTTCCATCTGGGCAACATCAGAGAAGCCTCTCCTCCTGCCTTCTGATCCGGGAAGCTTCTGTCACCTTGAATGAATCAAAAAGGAATTTCTGAAGGTGGGAAGTTTCACAGTTGTTGCCAAATCCAGCCATAATTCAATTTTTGTCTGTTTTTTTTTTTCCTTTTTTCTTCTTAACCTTTATTCCCTATTTCTTTAAAGTTGTATGCTTACATTAACTTGAGTGCTTTGAATCTCCAAGATGAAAGGAAGCATAAATGCAGAAAGTAGTCAAGTCATGCAGTCGTTCAGCTTAGGCTTGGAATGTTGGGAACGGGGCAGGAAGTTGACCAAGCCAGAAAACTTCTGAATATGTACAAAGGCGTTAAAATAGAAGTTTCCCCCAAAGCCCATCTTCTTAAGTGCTTTTCTTAACATTGGAACCTTGGAGAGTGTGTCCTTAGCTTTCTCTTCTCTGTTCTCACAGTTTTCTACTTTATTAGCCATTCCTCACTTAGATAGGAGAGTGTGCCAGTTGTCTGTTTTCTGTTTATTGGCCTCAATTTTGTAATACAAAAATATCACTCCTGCTAAAGTAAAAGCAGATGCCATTTTGTATCCTGAGCGGCAGTTTACCTCTTGTTTGAGGAAAGTGTCACACAGGTACTCACAGAGGAGAAAACTAATGACACCAATACGTGCCAGTTAAAAATGACTGCTGTAGAAGAAGAGAAAGCCCAACAAATAAGAAGATGCCCATGTACAGCCTCCTCCTCCCAGGTCCCCATCATGTCAAATGTGGTGACAACAATTTAACGAAGACTAGTCATGATAATAGCTAACATTTACTGAGTGTCTACTGTTTGTCATGGTGTGTACTTTTCATTTAATCCTTGTAGCCACCGCATGAGATGAGTTCTGTTGTTTATTCCCATCTTACTAATTAGGAAACCAAGGGTGAGTTCTTTGTCCAGAGTTCCAGGATAGCTAGTTACACAGTCAAGCCTCATACCTAGTCCTCACCCCTCTGCTGAATTCAGCACCAACCCACAGCTCAGTACCACGATGGCTTCAAACCAAATGCTTAATTCTGTTCTTCACATATAATAGACACTCAGTAAATGCTTGTTGACTGATTGATGATGACACTACCCTTATAAAATAGTCTAGAGCATACAGAGAAGAATAATTCAGGAATTGGCAACCGGACAGCTTAACAGCTGAATTTGGCTCATTTAGCGGTTAAAGTATGGACCGTGGTGACCAGATCAAAGCTGAAGCAGCTAATCCACAATGGAGAATAAACTTTGACAGAGGAACATTTCTCTTCACGAATTTCCAGTCTGACTGAAAACAGGAAGCCAGTCAAGGCAGCCAGAGAGTCGTGAGAGGATACCAGGCCACAGGGCCTCAGCAGCTCCCATTTCATCCCTCTCCTGCCGACCTTTTCGCAGCCTTTCCACTGCCTCAAAAATCAAATCCCAGGAAACTGACCAGCCAGGGAAGCCTTGGAGAAGACACTAAGCTGGCCTCTTCTCATAGTTTTCAAATAATTATTTTTTGGGGAAAGACTTTAATAGTTTCTTTAAAACTAGTTTAAAGGATTGTTATTACCAAACTGTTCAGTCCTTTCTTTACAATCAGTGAACAAACTGCATTATAAAACTTGTATAATTTTGTAATTGAGTGATGGCACTGTCTGAAATAGACTTTTACTCGTTGAGATAGGAATCTGTTAAAGGAGAGATGACTTCTATTGAAATGTCTAGTATTTAAGTATGAGGTCTTATTCCTTGGGCACCTATGTAGTGCCTCTTACAGGGCTCCATATAGAAGATTTTCTTTTTTCTTTTTTTCTGTACATCACTGATGAGGGAGAGGGGAGGAATCAGGAAAGATTTGGAGATAAGCTAAGCAAGGGCTAATATTCATTATAGGGCTCTGGAATTTAGCCAGAGGAGGGGAAAGAATTGAGCGCTCTCATGATCTAGAATGTACCCGGAAGTATTGGTTATCCTAAAGCCCAAGAGAAGAGATTGTACAGAGGTTCGATTTCCAAGGGGTATTTCATTCTGTAGCGTACTCCAAAATGTTTCCATGCCTGGTACCCAGAGCATTATTCTTTTTAGAGGCACCGAATGGCTTTGCATTGTCCTGTCTCCAGCTGCCCACCAAGTAGAGATCGTTGGTGTGAGATAACCTGGCCCATCCAGATGGATCCACTACTCATTCCTAATTCCCAGTTCAAGCATTTGTGGTATGTAGACTGTTGCTCCTTCGCTCCAGTTTCCTCCTCCTCCTCAGGCTTTCCCAAGGAGCTAAGTCATATGAGGCATGAGACATGATAATTCTTATTACTCTACAGAGTTACCAATATCAGTTGTGCTCTCCGCTTTCTGTGAACCCAGCAAAAGCAAGGTATATAACTGTGTTTATCCTGTTACATGCATCCTTAATTGAAACGTTGAAACTGAGCTATTTTGTAAAGTGTGTCTTGTTATCTGTATGTTGCTTTGCTTCAGTTGGTCAGCATATTTGCTTTATTCTTTATATTATCATTTCAGGGCTTGCTATTTGTCTTCCTATCTAATTAAATGATTCTGTTTTGAATAATTACATTTAAGTGCCAACAGCTAGGGGCATTTCAAACGTTGAATTTGACACAGTCTTTCCCAAGTAGACTCCTAGTCTAAATAAAATAGATACGACATAAACACCGGGAAGGATAAGAACAAACTCAGCTAGCTTTACCTTTGTGCAGTTCTTAGCAGGTGAAATCACTAGCAGTGTCCTTAGACATAAAAGAAAAGGTTCTCTGATTTTGTTACGTCTGAACCTAGGGGACTATATGGGAAACAAACTAGGAATCTTTTCTCTGGTATATTTTTAAAAATGTATAGAAAGGGAGGAAGGTGCAGGTGCTTTAGTGTTGATTCGAATGAGAAGACTGATTTTTGTGAAAATTTCTGAAATGCTTGTAGCTACTGAATTAAGTGTGAAGAGAACCAAAGAAGTGTGTGTGTGAATAATGTGAACATCTTTTACTGATTTGCCGCCAGTGACGGTAAACATAATTCTGGAAGCTGAGAGAGTTCCTTACCCCTTTAAGGAATAAGAGTTCTTTTCCTTCTGTGGGGACAGAGCTGTCCCAGCGGTATTCTGCTGAAAGTGGGTAGTCGAAAGAACACTGGAATTGGAGTCAACCGAAATTCTAGATTCAGTTCTCTCACTCGAATGCACTGTGCCCTCAAACAAGTTTCCTTGCCTGCAAAACACCAGCCGTTCCTGCCCTTCCTACATCGCAGGGCTGTAGTTAGGCTCAAGTGAGATTATATTTGAAGGTGACTTGAAAAATCGACAACAGCGTTAAGCATGGCTTTCTCACATTTAAAGATAGGAGAAACTGAAATGAAGCAATGGTCAAAATTGAAATTTCTCCTTCACACCAAAAGCACTAGGACTAATGTTAGTGAGCTGTTGGCTTTTGTTATGTTATAAACGAGAATTGATGCAAATGATCCTAGAGGAGTTTGGGATCAAATTCTCCTGTTATGTCAGTTTTTGAATCAAGCCATTGGCTTCCAAGCAATGGTCAATTTTTATTAACGGAGGTTTTGATAACAGAGATGATACTTCTGTTTGTAAAATTTCAAAATAATCCTTTCTTAACATATTTAAAATCATCAGTCTGCTAATAATTTTTATATACATATTGTTTGTAGTTGGACTTTGAGAAGAATATTTTCAAAAAGGCACCCGAAGGAAATTTTTTGTACAGGTTCCCTTTGCCCAATATCTACTCCCTTTAAGAACTATTCCTCCCAGACGGGTATCTGTGGATGTTTGCATGTGAATGCGCACTTTGTAGTTAAACATTTTCTTCAGATGCATATCTAGGAATAAGATAATTTTGTTTGATTGAAATAGCTTCGTAACATAGCACTAATCTTGGTTTGTAGTTTGCGAAAATACGGGACTAGAAATAAGGGCAAACCAGAACCTCATTATGCATAACCTTAATGCGTTAATGTTAGAACTTTAGGCAAAGCTGATAAAAGATGCAAAGGACTCTTAAATAATTTAAATTATCTAAAAAATTGAGCATATTCCTTCAAATAATAATGGCTTTCATGATCTGATTTTTTAAAAATTCATTTCTCATGTCTGGAGTTACTTGTAAGTGTAGATATCAAAGTAAGTTTGAGTTTATTTAAGATTATTAAATATATTTATTGTCATGCAGAGTCACTGAGGATTCTGTTTTTTTAGCCTAATTGTAATCTGTAGTGTTAGGTAGTGCATAATTCCAGCAACATACTTGATAATGTCATTATAGTATAGAGCTAATTTTTAGGAATTCTCTTTAAAATAGGGCTCTGTGATGTGACTCCTTGATTACTTTGAACCATTGATCAATTCCATTAACTTAAAAAAAATGTTACTGTGTACCCGTTATTATTTGCTTTCTAAAATAAAAGCTTCTTTTACCATCTTAAACTTTACTGGTAAACTATTACTTTCATAATGTATTTTTATTACTATATTCTTTTGGTAAAGGAGAATAGTTGGGAATACAATGAATTGTGGCAACCGTGATTAAAGTAAAGATCAGTCCCATTTCTAAAACGTCCCCCCACCTTCTTAAATGATTACAGTGGAGAATTTCGAGTTCTAAGCACACCATCCTTTGCTTCTCCTCGTGCTGTGGTGTATAGCAACAAATACTTTATATTGATTACTACTTAATTCTAATGGAAATATACTAAGCCTGGAAACACATTATAGCTTAGCACATAGTGCCTTAATTTTTAAACAGTTTTTAAATTTAAAAAATGGATAAAATTGCCCTAAATATACTTCTGTTGCTGGATCCATTTCATGCTATAAAATTATTCTCATCTCCTGTCTTTCCTAAAGATTATTTTGTTCACAGTGTATTTTTTTTGGCACTTCAGTGCTAATTTTTGCATAACTGAAAATCTGTCATTTCCATTTTAGCTGTTTGGAAACACGAAAACCATATTAGAACAACATATTAAAGATTAGTATAGAAGCACAAAAAATTCATAAAAGAGAGAGCTATGTAGAGATTTAAATTTAGTCAGATTATTCAAGCATGCAATTTTAATCCATTAATCTGGTTTGAGGCTGCTGAAAAGAAACATTTCTCTCCAAACGAGGTTTTTTCTCTTTCAAAACACATTGAGAAGAGAAGCCCCTCTTATCGAAAACAAATACTTTTTTTTAAGGAAAAGAGTGAAGCAAGAGCTGCCCTAATACTCTGCTGTAATTTCTTGTTAGTAAAAAACAGGTTGCCATTAACACACTAAGTATTAAAAGCTAGT